TATTTTCCTGAACCCGGTTTCATCGTCGGGCTTGTCCATTATCCAGGGAGCAAGTCAAGAATTTCAGTCGTTTGCTGTACACTCCACGGCGTTCAGTACGTACAACAGTACGTACTGTAGAATCAAGTTGTAGAGAACAATTTGTAACAGTTGTAGCTCTGAGGATTTAGCATTCCATTCGTTATAGGTATATAACCCACCAGGGGACGATGAATTGACATGATATTGTACATTTCCGCTGCCTCCCAAAAAATATACTATTTTCAGTTTCACCACTCTTAGAAAGCGTTATTTTTTCACGCGGATAGTCGAACTCTCGCTCACAGGGAACGCGGAGACTGTCTCGGATGAGCCGAGTCGGCACTGCCTTCTGCATATCAACATCCCCTCGAAATTGCATACTCAGTTCGGTGAAGTTGACCCGGAATCTGCCGACAATCCCGCTCAGGCAGCTCTTCATCCTCTGGTTCCTCATCGTCCCCGATCTCAACCCAGAGCAGCGTCACAACGTCTAACGGAGTGACCCTCTCTATTTAAACTCACATCAGCCTGATCGATCCTCCTGATGCTGTCTCTGGCCAGTTGATATGCCAACTCTACGTGGGTTGGCCTTCCTTGACCTATGATATTAAAGTTTGTAATCATATCATAACCGATGCCAATTTGGCATTGCCAAATGGCCTTCCTAGATCAAAACACTCGTGCCACAGCCTAAGAAAGTCGAACCAAGGATTCTGGCTGGCGAACTGTTACACGGTGAGCTTGCTTGAATATTCCCTGAACGATAGACGGAGTTCAACATCAAACCTCCCATAGGTGTAGCGAAACAAATGGCACGATGATCAGAACCGATGAGAAGGAAGCCTACCTTTCCAGCTTCTCGCAACTCGATGTAGTACTTCACGATGAGTACCCAGGCACGCTCTGCCATCCTAGGCTAAATTTTACGAGTTTCGTTGATGTACAGCCCCAGGTCGATCGAGATAACATCAGCATTCACGTCGGAGCCTATGGTGTGTTACTCGCATTGCGAGTCTCGCAATACGTCTCTTGGTCGGCGCAGTTGACTTCACCTCTAGAGACTCTAAGTATCAATGAGAAGAGGTCTAAGCGGGACCGGCAAGGTGGGGGTGGGATGCGCAACAGCGTTAAGTTCATTTGAGAGATATCCACGTTCTGCTGTAGGCCAGCCACGAGATTGTATCGATCTCATATCTAACAACCAAATGTTTCTTCAGTAACCAACTCACAGGATTTCAGCGGGCAGGAGAAACGCTTGAGCATTCATCATAGCCTGGATGCCTGCCTTGCAAATGGATATGGCCTGTTGCTGCATCGCTTCGTGTATGGTGACCTGTACAGGATTAGGCGGCTCTAATACAGCCCCGTTCACTTGGCCTTTCTTATCAAATACGATAACAATCACTTCCCAGTTCTATGTCGACCCGTACACTACCATTGTCAGTGAGGATGATACCACCGGGGTCGATAATGACGTCATTCGAGTCGAGGTCTCGAGCAACTCCGGCGGTCTAGCCAGCAGCAGTGAATGCCTTGCCGCTAGCATATACCATACGTGAAAGGGAATCAGATACCCACCCGAGCAAGATGTTTCATACACACAAAACAACGCTCCATTATCACGACTCGAGGAATTGGCTCTTGTTTATACTTGGATCGTCAACTATACAGACGTTGAGGTCGCCTCTGATCTTCACGCCCTCCTTCCTAGTTACCTTCAACACTTCATCTGATGAAGTCACTGTAATACACAGCTGGAGACCCGCACCACTGATATGACCTCAACGGTAGCTCCTGTGGCTTGATCGATATCCACCATGACCTTGAATGGTTTCCAATATAACCTATGAGTGATCCTTTCCCCCAATATGCAGCACCAACATGACAAACACGACACGGGAGGGAATAGCTCGGTAACGGGCATAAACCATTAACGAGGCCTCTGAATAAAGGTTAACGCGTTATAATACAAAGTGCTGGGCGATGCTGCAGGTAGCAATCACTGAGACACAGCAGCAGCCATCAGAGCCGCTCCAACGCCCGAACCATCACTACTATGTACTGTATGAATGAGAGATGCCATGACATCTCCAACGATCTTACTGAATGCCATAGAGAGGCGATCTGGATACTGATACCCCTTGAGATAGAGAGAGCCGTCGACTCCTATTGTCAAACACCGAGGCATCCCGTGGTCCACGCAGACCTCTCGCATATGTCTTTTATTTTCCCGCCCAATGCCGCATTTCTCAGCGACAGCTGCCAGACCAGCAGCGCAGAGATTAGCACTTCTTTCTACCACAGCATCACCAATGGTGCGGAAAACAACACGTACAACCTGATCGTCGCAGTTCAAGCCGTCATCCTCTAGGGCAGCACATACGAATTTGGCATCAAGAGGCCCTTTAGTGAGAAAATCGGGTAACTGCTTGTTCGCTGCGTAGCCCTCAAGAACATCCAGACACGCCAGCCGAGTAAGCTCACCGAGATACATGCCGGAAATTGTCTTCTCATACAGCTGTTTGCCAGGATTTGGCGACGCCTCATCAACAGCTCGATCATATTCATTGAGGACCTTCTGAACGTTCCTGAAGTTGTATCCACCCCAT